AGAGGCAAGCGCCTCCAAAAAGGAGCTAGAATAGTTGAGCTTACATTGAATCAAAAGCCATGTCACCTAACCCACCTTTTCACATCCTATGCTATTGTTACTTCTCCGTTTCAACTACTGCGTGGAATTATGGGCATTACACGGTGCGTGTCTATTCTACATTTTGAGCATTATGATGCCTGCGAGACGGGCCGTCTCTAGTGAGGATTCATTCCCCAGGCGCTTTTGTAGAAAGACGATGCCTCAATTCCTTCTTGCTAGTAAATGCTGAGTAGCACCGCTCCGGAGTCAGTTGCGGTTTGTTGGAGCTTGATTTAACGCTTGCTGTTTATCATATAGGTCTCAAAATTGGCGATTCACCGGGTGTAGCTTGCTGTTTTGGCCTCTTCTACTGCAAGTCTGGCATTAGCGTCGAGCATATTCCTTCTTTGCGCGAAGGTATGACTAGTCTTTGGAGTCGTGAACATTCTCAACTCTGACTAGGGCCTCTCCAAGTCCTGGAAGAGCAATATTCCATTTAACTATGGTGACTCGCATGCATAACGTTGAAAAGTGGCACCTTTGCCTCCCTCACTTGTCTTCGCATATTTAGCTTTTCTTAGGTAATGCCTCCTGCCTCGACTTGCTATTAGAATATCCACTACGCAGGGTCTGCACCTCTATCTCTGCCCTTTTGGAATGGGCTTGCTTGTTTGCTTGAGCAATTCCTGGTGATCGGATAGTGTTATTACTATTGTGTGAGGACATTCACCCAATATGCAGAGCAGTGTTGGATTCGACTTCAATTTATCTAGCTCAATTATCCTTTTGGCGTGCCCGTGTCACATGAAACATGTGTACTGAGGTCACGAACATTCTTATCTTCTTCCTTCGGACCTAAGAAACGATTAATCACTTTGTCTACGGTTAATGACTCATCAATCGTGTTAGCTGGGGAATTGTAGGTGTGCAATAGCATCGAATTACATAAATCAAAGTTGTCTTTCCACAGCCGAACCTGGAAGCAGAGGGCTCCCCTCAAACCCGTCGACACCAACCTCTACGGTCACCAGTGGTGGCGTAGGTATGTTATTGCATTGGAAAAAGGAAAAGATGCTTGAGTCGAAGGCGGAGGAGGAAATGAACCAGCACCGTCGTCGACGTTACTTTACTGGCTCCTCCGTTGTTGCTCCTTCCAGCAATGCCTCCGCAGATGCTTCCACTACTACTACCCTTGTTGGCGTCGACGATATGGATGCTGTATTCACTACACTCCCGGTGAAACGCAAGCGGTGCGCTAGTGCTTGCCATCCACTCACCATTCCTACCTCTTCCCATTCTCTCCCTGCCGTTTCTGCATCGTCAAATGTCCGTGAAATGAATGGTGAGGGTTTTGTATTACTTGTTCTATGCTTAAATGAAAACAACTGGTTTCGCTTTGTGAATGTATTTCCTTGTGACATGACGGTAATAGATTACTACTTTGGACACACCAACATTAATGTGTTGGGTGATTCTGGATGGTGTGTACGTATAATCTTGCCAGCGAGGCTGTTAAGTGACGAAACACCCATGTACAAGGTGGAAAAGCTCATGCTGTTGATATGGTGACATGGAATGGCGACTGTGAAAACCGGAGTCACAGTGGCGCAATTGTCTACCGTCTACGGAAACAAAACGTGTCCAGAAGAGGCACGCGTCCATGACTCACTGTCGGTTGGTCCGCCGTTGCGTTGGCCTCGTTTTTTATCACTGCTCCCTTTTTTCTTTCGCCTTCTTTGTGAGTAATTTGGCGAGTCACCTAGTGCCTGCGCTGCATTCTGTGGAAGGTAAACAATCTACCACTCTGCTTCATTTCCTCCCTCCCTACCTTCCCTCCTACCCGTCGGCTGGCTGGTCCGCTTGCTTTTTGTCTGGCAGTTGCGCGCATTCATTGCAGCCGCCCTATGTGACCTCGTTTTGGCCCGTGAGAGATGTCGCGGGCGCAAGAGCAAGGGTTGGGTGTGTGCGTGTGCGTGCGCGTCTTTGTCTCTGTTGCCGTATCCAACAGAACAAATCTATCAAAACTTCTCATCTAGTCGCACAGTCATCCTCAAACTGCCATCAACTTATCTACTACTCATCCATCCCACGTCTATGTCTCCACATACTGCAAATTCACCCATCAGATTGTTCTGGATCCACCCTGTCTTGGGGTATTTCATTTTCGTTCACTAGTATTCACTCAATTTCGAAGCCATAACATTAGATCCATCCATTTCATGGTCTCTTTAGTTGTTCGTTCAAACGTACTCTTTCGTCTTCTTGGCTGTCCATTTTCAAGATTATCTATCGGCTCGAAATCCATTCATTCACGTAATTTTTGCTCAAGATGTTGCCTCTCCTACTTATGCTTACGCATCACATCTGACCAAACATGCATCGGGTGGCGACTCAACTGTTTATTCGCGATTAGTACAGCTTAATACTTAGTCTACAATTTCGATGCCCAATCCATTTTCATCCACTCATTTATTCATTGAATTATTTATCCAAAATCTACCCAACTATTCGGGATGAATTGACGAGCCTTGGAGTTTGTCGGTTGTCTTTCACTTACCATGAACGCACGTACCCCATCATTCCACTCTAGCAGCAGATCACGCGTGGAACTCGCCCAGTGGAGCACCGCTTGTCAGTTGGTGACATCCACTATCTGGTCCCCTTTAATCATTCACGCTTTGTTAATGTGATATTTTTGTAGTTTCGACCGCCACAACCTCGCCACAGTCGACCCCGGGAAGAGGAGGCGGGGGAAGTGACCAAGAGCTAGCGTCTGATTGGTGTACTCGGGTACAGAATGACTTGCTAACCCAAATGTTTACGACCCTTCAACAATTGTCTGCTCGATTGAACGCAGATTCGGATGCAGACAGTGTGGTCGCCAATTGTCGAGCCATTCAGGCCTGCCTCGATACTATTGGTGCCATCAAACGTGCTCGCCAAGAGGTTCCAAACGTTTCCTGCACTCCTTGATCACAATGGTTGCAATTTTTATGATAACCCCCTCCAATATTCGGCCTTGCCGACATTCCCAATTCTACTCCAATTAACGTTCGAACAACTCTTTTCCCTTTCCTTTTTAATAATCGGCATTTTGGTGTACTCACCTTTTTAACTGCTAAAATTTTTTATCGTCTTTACTTTGTATACGATTAATTATTACCACCTACTATCCTCCTCTTTTATAGGCACTGGCAGTCATCACCCACAAAAATGTAGTGATCGGCTTCTGTAGGCTGCTGTGTTTGGGCTTATACTTTGCTACTGAAAAGGATGAGTAGAGGTGGAGCAGGATTTTATTAAATTGTCGTCAAAACTGGCCAACGCCATAGACATGGGAAAGTGCGAAGACATGACGCTTGACGGGATCGACAATGAGGTAAGCGAATGTGTTGACATGCACCTTTCCAGATGGATAAACAGTGCGGTTATTACTCTAATGAATCTAGTTATCAGAGGAGTCGACGTACCATAGCTCTAACGTCGTACACCAGAGAAACAACTCTTACTTTCTCTGAGTCGTGAATCTTTTGCACACTGAAGGGGACAACTGATGCGATATAATGCAGAACCAAACCTAACCAGATCTCTGTAGAGATTCTTGACAAAGTTTGTGTATGCTCTAAGGTCTTCATTTGGCTGTGAAAGCTCACCTCCGGTGACAATGTGCTTGAAGAGTCTAAAAAGGAATTCTTCGCGTTCAGCCTCATTGAAGAGGTCATAGAACTCCGAGCCCTGGATATAGAGTGCCTAAAGAGAGAGCAGTGGTCAGTGGATACGAGTAGCTACGCGTTCCAGGCAGTCACTTATAACCAGTGATTCGTAGTATTCTTCAAAGCAGGATTTTATGCGACCTGTCTTGTGAGCAACAGTTCCAATGCAGCGGTTGAAGATGTCCATCGACAAGAGAGTGCAAGGTACGTTTGAAATTAAAACATCGCAGTCATCTACTAGAAGAAAAACTGGATCCACCGTGAAGGAGTAATTTACGCGGAAGCCCTTCTTCAGTGTCAAGAGTTTCACGAACCACGGGATCATTGAAAAATGCCTAAGGATAATGCGTTAACGAAGAAACGGAACATACTGTGGCGAATTCTTTTACTTGGTTTATTTTGAAGGTTTCGTCAAAGCAGTAGCATTGACAATGAAGACGGCCTTTCATTGACCTTAGAAAGTAAGGATATTTGAGCGAGTGCTAATGAACAGATAATAGTTAAAGAAAAATTTCGGCGAAGTACAGATTGAAGATTGTGTAGTTCTCAAGGCCGGCTTCATTTAAAATGATTCCTAGGCAAAGGTACTAAGCCTATTTGTAGTAGACTCATTAAAGAGGAGAACCCAATACACCTCAAAAGAAATAGAGCAGTGGACAAAATTTTATTCCCTTAAGGTGGTCCGGTAGAGTGCAATCCATTACTAGGGTATAAAGACTAACATAGATCCGGCGTAAAAAGTGGACTGTGTCGTACGCCGTTTGCGGGAAAGCGCTTAACAAGAACAATAACTAAGCCTTTTCTACTTAGGTACTCATTATAAGTCCCAACTTTGCATAATAGGCATTCAAGCTACGCGTAAGCATAACATATAGCATAACGAGGATGGGACAACATCCAATGCATACGCTTTCGAATAAAAAAGGAACATGCCATACCATTGCATAAGTAGGTTTTGAGCGTCTTTGCTTGTAATTGATGGAAAACA